AGGCATGCATGATGTAGTTTTAAAAATGTCTGCTCTTATAATAGATAGATGTTTGGGATGAAATAAATTTATATTCAATTATTTCCTGTGTTTTTGTGTTTTTAGATATTAAACATTCATGATTCTCTTTGTTCCTGAAAAATATACTGGCTCACAGGGAGAATAGGACTTCTTACCCAGTGAATAGAAATTCATGCCTCATTCTTATTGTCTACAAAATGTAAATTTGCAAAGATGAAAGTGACTAAAGCTCTTTTTTTATGGAATCCAGAGCTTCTAGGAGAATTTCTTCTACAGGTTTTGAGACCATTCTGTAAGTGAATGTAGTTGTGAGGATAAGTTTGCAACAAGAATAAAATTTGTTGCCTGCTTGCTGGAGTGAAAGAATCACTGGAACCCTTTGCAGTAAGACCTCTTTTAGGACAATGCACAAGAGTCTCATCACTGGCAGCTCAGGCAGAGCCTGTTTGCCTGTGGCTTGGCTTTCCCAGTAATACAGACTATCTAGTGAGGCAGAGTAGGACAGTTCTCTACCCCACCACAAAGCACTTCTGGAGAAAGAACTGTTAGAGCTCTTTCAACAGAATGGGATGAGCTTGATAGGGAAGAACGCATCTGACAGATATTATCAAGATAAAAGGGCAACCAAAAAATGGAGGCAGGATTCAGATATTACTTGCTTAGTTACTCAGATTATGAGCTTTGTCCCAGATTTTTTTCTAGAGTGATTCAGATCACTAGACCAGATTAAATCCTGGTGCTGCAGAATTTCTACCTCCACAAGTTTTCAGAAAAAAACCCCAAATTTTTAAACGTTTGTGTCAGACAGCTAAACTCTTAAAGACAAGCATTAAGCAGCACTAACGTAGATGCTGAAACTAGAGAGGCATAAAAAGCTGGATTTGTCTGACCAAATTAGATATCTGTAATATGTTTGCTTATGGCCAAAGTGTGTGTCTCAGCTCTCTTCCTTGCCAGAAAAATGGGCTTTGTGGGGTTCATCACACAGGAACAATAAAAAATGGGCCACTGAACCTCAGAGGCACCCCTTTCTTTCCATCACCTGGCAGGGAAAGAACATGAACATCTGTTCATGTGTAGAGGCTTTTATTGTCAGTGACTGTGGTCAGTCAGATTAGAGGAATGTAACCAGGTAGTCAAGGATCAGGGAAGTCCTTACTCCCTCTTTGTCCAGAGCTACTGCAAACAAAACAAACCATGGCTCAAATCTGACACGGCTCTTTGAAGCTGCTCAGACTTACCTTTTCCCCTCTCTGGCCATTCCTTGGAATGCAGCTACCTAAATTTTGACTAGTTATAAACTGAGGACATACATCTTCACACTCCCTGGTTCACTGCTTACTTCCAGGAAGAAGGTGCCAAACTGGGAAATTTAATTCTTCCAGATCTCTGGAGCCCTAACAAAGGAGCAACTTATGCATCATTGAGTATTATTAAGAAAGGGAAAAATTTTTACTCTGAAATAGTCAGATGTGGTTTAAAAACAAGATTCCTATACAAAGAGAGCTTTTTTTGGTCTTTTTGTGCACATTTAGTATGTGTATCATATTAATATGTATATATTCACATATATTTCTTTAATTTATATATTCATATAATCTACTAAGTTAATTAGAAATATATTAATAGAATATGTTTAAATAAATATGTTATATTTATAATAGAAATTAAGTATATATAATATGAATATTTAGTATTTAATTAGCATTTACCTCATTAGTAAATACTCTCACCTTGTTCAAGCATGCTTCTCAGTACTAAACTATAAATCAACAATATTAAAAATCTAATACAAGTCCAGAAGCATTTTTTCCTCATTCTCTTATTCCTTTACCTTTCTTTAAGGCACAAAATAGCCTCAAGAGGCTGTTAAAATCACAGAAGGGTTTTAGAGGAAAAAAAAAACTTGTTTTTTATTATATATTTGTTGCTACAAAATATATTTGGAATAATCTTTCTCAGCATAGCATGTGTATGTATGTAATGTATGTATGTGTATGTAATATAACAGGAGAAAATGCAAATTGAAAAGAATCAAGTGGTCTCAGTTAATGAAAATCAACAAGCTACCTGCAAGCCAGGAGCATCAGGTGTTCAAAGTGTGAGTTTGATCATAACTGAGATGGAGTGTTTGCTTAAGACTCACCTGTACACGGTTTTATATGTGTATCCCTTGAACATGCATGGGTTCTGGTGACATTTAATGTCCAAAGCTTTATTTTTCTTCTCTTTGAAGAGTTCCATCTCTTTTCTTGTTCCCTTTTATTATATTTTTTTTTATTTTTTTTGTAAGAAGGATGATGAGGTCTTGTGAATGAAAGAACAGAGTAGCTGTTTGATGAACGCAGACTTTTATCTCAACTTGTACAATGGTGCTCACAGGGGTGAGGGTAGGGATTCTCAAAGGCATAAATGGGAAATAAGCAGGAAGTTTTATTGACTTCCAGTGGATTCTTAAGAGCCTTTGTTTACCTGCTTTCTTAAATTTAGGTAACTGTATATGTTAGTAAATCATCTATGAAAAGAATACAAACCTGCAATCTACAGAAGAAGCAACAGCTGTAATGAGGTGTTTAGCAAAAAAAAAGGGCATAAAGCAGCAATTTTACAATGTTTCAGTTCAGAAGAAATAAATAAATAAATCCCAGCATGGAAAATCCTGAAGTAGGGACCCTTTTTCCTTTTTTTTTTTTTGTTTTGTTTTGTTTTGTTTTGTTTTGTTTTTGCTGGCTTTTCATCCTTTGTATTTCAAAAACAAAAGGGAAGAGAAAAATACATTGGGACTAATCTGCATGAAGACTGAGTGCAAATCCTGCTCTAAAACACTTTATTTATACCACAGATCAGCTTAAAATAATACTGCCTACCTGAGCTGGTAATAATTATTTTTTACATATAGAAATTTTAGAAAATTTGAAAATATATAGACATCCTATTGCAGAACATGGCAGGTTTTGGTTTTGATTTTGATATCTAATTTTCAATAGTGAGGAGTTTGGAAAAAAAAATAAAGGAAACCATACCAGGACATAGAAATATATATCCATTTCAATGTGAATTTTGGAATTTTGGCACTTTGCTTCATGAGAACTTGGAGGTTTCTCAACTGAAAAATCCTACATTTTGATATTACACAAATCAGATACACCAAAATTCTCTGGGGGACACAAGGTGTGGGCTGAGAAGGATCCCTTCCAAACAAAGTAATTGGAAAACTAGTTTTAAAAAGTACTGTCCTGAAAGAAAACCACAGCTTCTTTTAAAGAAAAAAATGAAAGCCAGGAAAAAAACCAATTCCCTCTCCACCTCCTCTCCAAATGAACATAGTATAAAGTTGTTTGTAAGGAAGAAAAGTGAATTTACATACAATTACTTCTGTAAGACAACAGAAACAAAAGAATTTATGTATTGCTATTATCTTTGCAATTAATTTTGTATATAATTTGTTTACTTCACTTGTAGACCTTCAACATTTCATACGGAAAAAAATGGAAGCTCATTAGCATCAGTGGGCCATTTAAAAACTTCATATTTTTTTATATATACTAGCTTAAAGCTGACCAGTCTTGGGGATTTGATTTATTATGAATATTTACATTATTCTGCACCGTGATAACCACATTTTATCACGGTACATCCTTCAAACAAAAGGAAAGATTATAAGGTTTTTTCCCCACATATTTGTAGCAATCATTTTTCAAACAACTTCTATTATAAAACACTTTCTTTATGTGGCATATAGGCTGTAAAATAATATTCACTGCATACCTGCATTTGTAGTAAATATTCTTTATGTAGCATCTAGATAATTTAAAAATATAGGGACACCATCTTGCCGTTCCATGAGGCAGTCAAATTCACCACTTCTCTATATTTTGTCTCATTTTAATCTTTAGCTGTTGGCCTTCTTAATTAGCAGCTTGTCCCTATTTCTTTGAGCCTTATTTTATTTTATTAGTAGCTTTCCCTCCTTCCTTTCAGAATGTTTTATTTTACTTTATTTCTTTCTCTTTTCTATCCAATTTTGCATTACGGAGAAAGAAGTCTGGAAGCTTTTGCTGACACACAGTGAATAAAGAAACTGGATGGCAGAGGTAGTTGATCTCGTGGTGGTAATCATGCACAGAAATGGAGGAACTGCAGGGTGAACTTTTTGATCCATAGCATGGAGCTGTGCAATGATCAATTGCCTGTCCAAATCCGCTCCGTACTTATTATTTTTATGGAAATGTATCATCCCAGCTTCTGCTATGTATACTCAAGCCTTGCTCTGTCTCCACCCCTTGATGTTCCAACTACTTCTGTAAGATTTAATAAAATACCCTGAAAACACAAATATGGGGCCTTTTGAATGACTGGATTTTACTCTAATTGCAGCTGGAAAATCAGAGCTCCAACTCCACTTTCTGAGAAACAGTATTAGAAAAATGCAGATTGTGGATAGCTTAATGGAAGTGGCCTACTTTCTAGAGCCATTTGTTTTGATGAGAGCCCGAGTGTAAATTCTGTACAGAACACAGACAGCTATTATGCAGTTAATTATGCACAAAGTAAACATGTACAATTGCAAACAGCAGAATGCCACCTAATAATGGATAACCTGAGATTTATGGTATGCATACCCAATCTGTAAAGGCTTCTACTCATGAATCTAAAATGAATGGAACATTACCCAAATGATCCAGAATGAAGGATTTAAAGTATCGCTCTGCCCTTATTGCTACTTATTCCCTGTCAGCAGATTTTTCATTTGTTTTTTTATTTATTGCACATAAACACTACACAAATGATTTGGTCATATTTAAGAACATATGGTCTGTGCTTCTGATTACTGGTTATGCACTTTGTTACCAATTACTTGTTAAAGTAATCACTTCTTTAATTACACTGGTCAGCAGATAATGATTTTGCCTTCATTTGCTTGAAGACTAACTGCAGCAAAATAAGTTGTAATGTGAACGCCCCTGGAAAAACAGGGCACATCTTTTTTGCACATATTCACTCTTTTTTTTTATGTAGGTGTTTTTATAAATGTGATTGCAGTCTACATTTATTCTTACTTTAGGTTTCCTGTGGCAGAGAATTGGTCAGTGCTCAGATGCAGTTAGCACAGTTGTGAGTGCATCAGAGCTCCTGCTAATGGGAGTGTTGGCTCACATGCCATGATTAGCCCTCATCATCCCCACTGTGTCTTCTCTGCAAGGAGAAAAGGGCTTCAAAAATTCATAACTAATTGTAAAGTAGCAAGAAAACCAACTAAGCTGCTAGAGCATCTTGTCAGTATAAGGCAGTTGGTATTGTTTCTTTTTGCAGTTGAATTTTTTAGCTTGGATCGGTGCTTTTCATTTGTTCTTTTTAGGGGAATAAGAAAATCCAAGCCCCCAGACCCTGAGACATCTATTATAGCTTTTCTGTAAGGGATCTGTGACACAGGGAAGAAAATATTTTGTATGTTTGAGTAGGTCCCCACATCAACGGAAATACTGCTGACATGGCTATCCAAGCCTCTTTTTCCTTCAGATTATTATTAATTACATGTAATGTCCTGCTGTAACCAGGGTTTTGTTCCTTTATACTTGCTTTCTGAGTTTATTCTTTTCTTTGCTGACTGCTAGGTCCTGCTAAAAGATTTCACTGACTCAATTGCATTGTACAACCCCTTTGTCAGGGGTATTATTGAAAAAGAAAATACAAAAGAAGTGGAAAAAATTAGTCAGGAATGTGTACATCATAAGCTTTATCTACATTGCTAAATAATCCAGTTGAATGGTTGGGTTTGAGGATCTCCTCTGTCATCATGCCTGTTATTTAAATGTTATCACGTTCCCAGTCTTGGTTTTGACACCAGAATTTTCTGAAACAATATCTGGGTAAAATTTGGGGCATAGGATGTGTCAGGGAGCTCTCATGTCCCCCCTGTGAGCAATATGCAGTGTAGAAATTCTGACCTGTAAAGTCCTCCAACAGTAGCCAGCAAGACTGGCATCCTCAAGCACTGCCATGTGCCCACACACAGGCTACACCCAGAGCACCCAAAACATCCCCCACTCTCAGACAGTGAAACACTGGTAGACTGCAACACAGATTTCTCTGTAGTCTGGACACGTTCAACTGAAAAGAAAACATATAGAGATGATAAGCATGACTTAAGGTGACTGAGGCTCAGGGAAAGATGAATACTAAGTGCTGTGTAGTGTGGATATAGCTAAGCCAAACCATTTGCCCAGAGACTGGACCCTGTCTTTGTTTTATTTAACAGCAAATATTGGGATTCCACGGAGAGAGATGGAAATGCATCATACTGTGAGATATTGTTGTCTACAGGTGGATGGATGGATAGATTGATACTTACCAAATGTAATGAATAGCTTTTACTGATTACAGAAAGACAAATGATGTTCCCCTATGAAAAAACATGAGGCTTAATTAAAAGTCTTTTTAAACATTTTTTTTTAAATGTAGCATATTCCCCTTATACATCAGTGTAATACTACTACAAAAGAGCTGCTATTATTACTAATTTTGCCCAGGCTGAAGTGACAGGTGTGCTGGATTCTGTAATTTTCTTCATATAGAGCCACATCAGGAAATTAATTTGAAATAGAGAAGGAGGAATTGTGGTGATGTGAGATTCATTGCTGTTGGCACACAAGCTGTCTAATTCAAAGCTAGCTTGTACAGTTCTGCCTTAGACTGCAATTCAGACATGCTTGGATACATAGCATTGCTGATGTTTGAACTACTTAGGTGCTGCTGGCTTTCCAAACAGTTTGTTACGACAGCCCCTACCCCTGTAGGTAGAGGGAAAGATGTCGTTCAGCCACACTTTCTTTCAAGCTGTTCATTCTTATTCCACAAGATGTTACATCTGAAAAAAAACCCCACTAAAAAACCAACAAAACCCCTCGCACAAACAGCAAACAAAATCAGCTAAACCCCAAACCACTCAGTTATAAAATTAGTTGTAAAAGCATATTTTTTGAAATTACCCGGAGAAAAACGAAAAGGACTGGAGAACTAACAATCACAGAAAAAAAGAAACAAACCCCAAAGTAAGCAAATAGGTGTGTCTTCTCTCTTCTGGGTCATTAAAGGTTGTAGGTCACTATTGTATACTGCATTGCATTGCTCATTTTTACTACTTTGATTGTCCTGCCTTCTTTTATTGCATTTTTGCCGAATCCATCCTACCACCTACATTAAGGGGTTATTTCCTTACATTATGTAAGGGAGAGAGGAAAGCGCCACTTTCATCTTTAGGAGACAGTAGTGCTGTTTTATTTTTCCCTTCCTTTTTTTTCCCACTTGTTCTTCTGTAATTAAAGTTAACAATTCAATTGTTCCTTACCAACATTTTTTGCTTGCATAGCTCTTTAAATTCTTTTTCTCCTTTCCATTAACAATTTTATCTTTGATTACTATTCCTTTCCTCTGGATCAGTCTGCATTCACATCAGATATCTTGTTCTTGTCATTGTAACCTGCTGTGTGAATCAGGTAAGCCTGGTAAGATAGCTTTACAGAGCAGCCCTGATTGTGTTTGCTGAGCTGTGAGAAAAACAAGAAGCGTAAAAAAAAAAACCAGCTCAGAAGCTTGTTTGTGAATCAGAGCCTGCTGAAACTACAGTACAGAAAAAGAAAGGGAATTTTACACTTAAATTTAAAGAGACTTATTGAAGTCTCTTGCTGAGAAGAAACCATTTCATGTTGTTAGCTTGATCTTAGTAGTTTTCTTCTCTCTAATGTACTGCTCCAGCAGTATGCTACTCCCGGTTTGCATAGAGGTAAATGACAACATGCTGCCCAAGGCACTGGGGAGTCAGGTCCTTACACTTTACCAAAGAGCTGTGGAAGCACAGCAGTCACCCCAGCAAGGCTGAGACTCCATTGCAGCAGCCAGGCTGAGAGGAGGGCACACAGCTGCAGAAAGCCTCTGGGGATGGAGGGACCTCTGATCTTAAAGGCAGCTTTGCAGCTGGAGCAATTACTGCTGCACATTCAACTGGATGTGAGGGTGAAGGCTTCCAGCCTGAAGGCTACAAATGGGCATCCTCTGCTAATTGGGAACAGAGGAAGAGGAGATCAGAGAAGTTAATAAGCATGAAGTCAGTACTGTGGCCAGTTAATAGCAATACTCTTTCTTGTTATGCCCATGAATGTATTGGCAAATTTTATCCTGCCTGTAGGGAAGTGGGTGGCTGACACAGAATAATAAAGACTCTTTTCTTTCAGCTGCCAGTTTGAAGGCTGCTCAGACTAGAAATGGCAAAACTGTACCAGATGATGGTCTCTCTGATGGCAATCAATAGTCTTGAAGTATTTATTTGTTCGCAGAAGTCTGTCTCATGAAAATTCCCCTTTAGCAATAGAATTATTTGCATTTTAACAAATCATGCCTGGGGCATGGGTAACCTTTGTGCATGTCAAGAAAGAATGCTTCTGATGGTCTCACTGTTTCTCCCCTTTTCATCCCCTGAGAGTACAACAGAAGTCTGCAATAAGTCTTGGATTAAGATTGAACCAGGAATGCCTGCCTGCTATGTAAAGGAGTCATCAAACAGTGGTAGAAGAGAGGGGAAATATATATCTTGAATGAGAGGATTTAGCAACTGTATTGAGGTCCTAGAACTGGATTTGGTGTTGGGCCAAGTAGTAAATGTGGAAGAAGTCAGGCAGTTGGTTAGCCATGAGCTTTCTTCTACTGTATCTGCCGTCAAAATATGCTTAGGGGCAAAGATGTTTCCTTTTATCTGACATTCCCCCTGTGAATTCTGGGAGGTCAGCTTTGGATTTGAACAAACATCATCATTTATTTGTTTGTAACTTCTGCTAGTTTCACCATCTGGCATGAATTATACTGCACCGAACATGTTCTGTCTTATCAAATTCTATTATCACTTTGTGCTTATCCTGTAGTTTATCACTTTGCAACTGCTTGTGTAAAAATAAGTAAAGCAAGAACATAAAACTATTAGTGGTTTGAAAACCCTTTAAAATCTTGTTGCAGCCATTCCTGCAAACACCTGAGGCTTAAATCCTTGTTTCAAATATAGATAACTCTAATATTCTTTTTGTTGTCTGGATAGCTTTATTGTTCTATAGTGGTTTTTTATGACAAATTAAACATCTTTGGTTTTAGGAAGCAGAATGTACCCTTTATTTTTCTTCCACTTATTTTTCTTCCACTTCTTTGTCTCTAGTTACAAAGGATTATTTATTTCATGAATTTTCCTCCTGGTTTTTTTTTAAATTTAATTTGATTATTAAGTCTTAGATTGGCTGCCTCAATTCTTTCTTATTTTCAGGGTACTATAATTTTTTAAACATGGTTTAGTGCTTCATATTCAGCATGTGCTTTTAATTTACACTTTATTTCAAAATCATATCTCTGATTTTTCTTCTCTCTCTCTCTTTTGCCTTTTCATTCATTTCTTGAATATGCTCTGTTTGTAGTGCAGAACTTAAGTGCTGACTTAAGCACTTGACCTTCTTTCTTGCTCCTGTTAGCTAACCCCGGTCACAGTAAGTTGATTTCTTTACATTTGCAGATGTTTTTTTCAGGATCAAATCCTTCATGCTGTATCAGATAAGTGTCTGAACATCATGAAAATAATAAACAGAAAAGATTTCACTCTTAGCCCAAAAGTGTTAGGGAAAACTACTTTCAAAAGGCACTTTTGCAAACCATTACATATAACAGGTTGAAATCTTTGAAGCATCTTAAATCTGGCAGCTTTAAATTTCAACTCTCACTTCTAGCTTCACCTTTTGAAGCTTTTTTTGGCTTTCACATAGATGTTATACATCAATAAATATTTAAGTCTGACTCCTTGTGTAAAAAAAAAAATAATCCTTTAGCAAAGTCTATGAATAAGAAGTAGTTGATCTAACCTGATGATCAAATTGCAATCCGTAAGGATAGATCCTGGCAACAATCCCTGCCCATGATACCAAGACAAAGGTAATAACTGAATATTTATTTATTCTCTCATTAAATTATGAAAATACTGTGCCAGGTGAGCTTCTGTTTAAAGCGCTTTGACCTACAGAACCACATAATCTTGTTCTGCCCTTGTGAATTCAGAGGTGGAGCAGTTTTGGGGATTCTTGCTGAGATGGTCAGTCTACAGCACAGTCCTATAATTATTCCTCAAGAGAAAGTTGACATTAGCCATAGACATTTTCTTAAATGGTTGCAATAGTACTTTAATTTTTTCTGGAACACTGCAAAATAGAAATCAAACTATCTAAATCAAAATTAGATAAATCTTCTGCCACATCCAGACTTGAGTCAAAACAAAAAAAAATCCTTGGGCTTATATTGATGGCACAGGGAGTATGACCAGAATGTAGCCTCTCAGGAATGTGAATGGCAAACTATCTACTTACAGATAAATCCTGAAGGAAGCTACAAAAATGCTGTACTTAATTCTAAAACAAAAATGTACATTGCAACCGAGTAAATAAGGCTGGATGACTCTGAATCTTTATTAATTAATCAACATAAGTTGTTTCTAGTTCCTTCTGTCTAAAAGGACTTTGAAAGAAATCTTGGGTTCTACTATTCCTCAGCTGAAGTGGAATATCTGATGCATAGATACAGAAATTAGGAGAACCCTTACATATCTTGTGATTTTTCAAGTAAAAGTATGTTTGAACAAAGCCATAATGTTATTAGTTTTGAATCACAAGAAACATATTAATTTACTCTTTCAGTGCAAGAAGGGGAACACTTTGCTATTCCACAAAAAGCTGTATGCTTTCTTGGAAGCTTTTTAGTTTGTACTTTTAAATAAATTTTAGAATTTGAATCTCCTTGATAAGACTCCCTTTCCAAAACCATCATCAAAGGGGTCTGAATATTATGAAGGCTTTTTTCACTAGAGATCTTGATACTGACAGCCAGGTTTGATTTTGGGTTTGAAACATATGGAGCATGGATTAAGTGACAAGTCACCAGAAATATGGAAACAGCTGTAATCTTAATAAAGCCAAATGGAGACTGAAATAATTTTCTTGGAAACATTAATGCTTATACCAGACCAAATATTCTTAGAATGAGCATTTCTACACTGTAAGAGCACATCAATTTTGTTTTCATAGCAAGACATGAGGAGCTAGTAAATAACATGATTTATACACAGATCTCCTGGGTACTGAGTTGGACAATCACATTATTGATTGACCACTATGATGACACTAAACCTGAACCTCTTCCATGTCATCATCTGTAATCATCTCTTGATTAGAGACTCTGAAGCGCCTTAGTCAGGATCAGGTAACAGGAGACAGTTCTGATTGAGCAAATCAGTTTGGAAAGGGTCCCCGGAGAAGAATTTCATTTTCCAGGCCAGAATAATCATCTCTGTGCCTTTGAATCTATACTAATAACATAATGGGGGAGAAAAAAAGTTTTTCTCATGATGAAATAAAACATCTGTTTCCTTTCTTTCCTCTGGGTTAGGTTTATCAAATTATGAGCTGAGCATTACACAGCTCTTTTGCAGTGAGCAAAATGGACTGATAGTAGATAGATATTTTTAATTCTTATGTTATCTGCTGTAGGACTGTTGACAAGTGTAATTATTTAGCATCATATTTGAAAATGCTTTTAAAACTCTTGATAACATGAGATAATTAGTGTCCCTTTACAGAAAAGTAAATCCCATGCCAACTTCACACAGCTGAAACTAATGTTATAGTAATGTTATATAACTCTGATCTTAACAGATTCTGCTTGTGGCTGGAGCTGTGAATCAATGATATCCCAGTCTGTGATGCTTCTCTGGAGGAAATAAAAACCAAAACATACAACAAAACAAAATCCCTCTAAAATTTACTTCAGCAAATTAAATTTTGTATTAAGCTGCTGCTGACAGTCAAGAAAGATGATAATTTTATTTTGTTTGGGCTAAATTATACCATTATGATTCTCTAACACTTGGAAGGGCATACACTCAGAGAACTGAGATAAAACCATTGGGAGTCCTTGCAGGCTGAGGCTCTATCAGATAACCAGATGCAGTGGCACTGGTTTCATCCCATCAGGTGTGTATAATGTCCTTTGAAAGGTCAAAAGTGGTAGAATATCAGGGCAGTTGCTCCTGGACTCTCCCTGTTCAATGGAGTAAAGTGGGAAACCCTGGTCCCTCTCTTCAGATTCCATTGGTAAAACTTATTCTTAAAAATCCCCAAAAAGTAGATGCTTTATAAAAAATGTAAGTACCTACAGCCGTGTAAGTGATCTTCCCCTAAAAATTCATGATTTTTACAATAATTTACGTGTTACTTGACATTATTTTCCCATGTCTTTCCAGAATTGTTCCTGTATTTGTATACTCCATAATGTGTTTTTCAAAGCTGCTTTTTAAGGTGTTTTTAGTTGTTTTGGTTTTATTTTTAATATTATGTGATCTCTTCTATAAATCTCCTTAAAATACTGACTTATAAATTGTGGTTTGAGCTTATTTACTGGGTAGCAAAAGGCTGTATAATGTTGTATAGCTGTTTCTACATAGGAATGGAATAAACCCTAGCACATATTGTTAGCAAAAGGCTTGACAGATCTATAAAGAATGCAATTGATTTTTTACTAAGAAAAGAAAAAAAAAACCTTAGTAAGAAGTATCAATGCAACCAGAAAACACCCATAGGAGGTGCCCAAGTTCCCACTGATCGTGGAGTACTTATGGAATCTGATACTTGGGAATATCAAAGGATGATCTGCATTGACCTGTCTGGGAAATCCATCCAACAAAGTTGGAAATGGACATGCCTTGTGGTTGCTAACTGATTTAATTACAGGAAAATTCAATCAGCTCGAAACAGTTTCTGGTAGGTGCTCACACCTACCAGGAAAAAAAAAATAGAAAGTATTCTCTTTTCCTTAATCAGCACAATGATAATCTGTTT